TCAGAAGCAGGCCACTTCTTGTTTTCTTTATTAGTACCATGTCTTTACCTTAAAAGTTTCTAAGGGGTGAAGGAATTTGCTTTTTCCTTTGTTGATATTCCCAAGAATGGAAAAGAAGGAAAGCCACCCAAAATGTTGAGCTAGCACACTTCTCTTGAAAATATTTCATTTTTAAAAGCATGCGGCCCTTTTATGAAGACCATTCTTTAAATTATGCATCCATCTGTGATGTATTTTTTCCTTTGTAAATGTTAAATACAATTTTGGCTAGACTCGTTCTCCTGCCTTACATAGCCACAGCCACTCAGAGCCTGTTTGTCCTCGAAGCCGGGGTTGGGGTTTGTTCTCAGGCACTGCTCTGAACTTGCGATCCAGGCAGGGCTGAGAATCCCCCCCAAATGACCGGGTGACTTTGCTTCGGAGCGGCACCCATTCTCCCAAAGCTTTTGGGCTCGCTCGCTCTCCTCAGCTCTTCATAGCTCTGCAGTGAGCACCATTGACTCTCCTGTTGTCTTTGCTTCCTCCCCTTGAACTCTTTCGTTGGGGCTGTTTGGGAGGAACTTGCAAGCCTTTGCCATTCATCTGCGGTCAGCATTAAGGGTGGCTAGCTTAAATCCAGCCAGTTTCAAGCAGACGCTTCCTCTGGCTCAGGAGGGAGAGGAGAGGAATGGGCCAACTCACAAGGAGGCCAGCTTCATTCAGGCTAAACCGCCTCAAAAGCCAAGCTTGCTGGGGCTGATGGGTGTCCAGTAGCTTGCTCAGAACGCCACAGGGAGGGTGTAATCGGGGGGTATTTTAACTCCACTTTCCTTGGCCAAGTCCAAGAGTCCTTAGCAAGCTCTCTCCAGGCTTTTCCACTTGAGGATACACTCAGGAAGCTCTGGGCTTAGCCAGCGATTTCTCTCCCAACTTCAGGATCTCTTTTCTCCCCACAGATGTCTCAGAGTAATCCGAATCTTGGCAACCTCCTTGGCTTGAAGGGAGAGAGCGATGGCGGCCAGCTGGCAGCAGCGGGAGATGCAACCCAGTATCTGGGCAAGACAGTGAAGGCTCTTGTTCAGGAGAAGCTTGCTGAGCCCTGGAAGATGTATTTGCGCAGGTGAGGGGAGGAGGAGGACCTGGATGGAAGGAGAGAGGGCTGGTGGGAGGCCAGCGTTGCCCCACTTAAGTCCTTGCGGCTGGGCTGCAAAGGCCCTTCCCTGCAAGGCAGATCTCCCAGCCCCACGCCAACTGTCCGGCTGGGCATCCGCTCAGATCAGCTGTCAAAGCAGCACAGGAGGCCCGACGCGAGAGCCATGGTTAGCTTACCATATCTCACGCATCACGTCCCAGGACATGAGTGATTTTGCTCATTAATGGAATTGAACCCCGCCTTAGCCTCTGCAAAGAAGCTTACATCTAAAAACATTAACTAAGAACACATAAAACAGGCATGACGTAACTAGGAAGTAAAACTGCAGCTAAAACCAACTAATTCTCTGCTCTGAACTGAGCCAGAGGAGCCAAAGGAGTTTGTCTGGGAGGGCGCTCCAAAGCTCCGGGCCCCAGTCCGCTTTGCCAAGGAGCGTCACGGCGTAGCCTGTTGACGGGAGACTCCAGCCGATGCCTTCGGCTCGTAATTCCGAGTGTCGGCCTCGTGTTTTTCTCCTTTAGGCAAGGGCGTTATGGGCCTCTTGAATTGCCCCGTGACTTGGTTCTGCTGACTTCCTCTTCTTCTTTTCTTGTGGGTTCTTTTGTTTGATTAACATTCTGCCCTCCTCGCGGAGTTTCAGCCGGCCTTCGGACCAAGCTGGCTTTATCCGCAGCAGAACTCAGGGGCTCCTTCCAGCCATGCCTCCCCCCTCCCCCCAGCTCTTGTAATTTATTATTCACTTTGTTTTCAAGCTTTCGATTCATTCCTGACCCATCAGCCATCACCACCGTTTGTACCTGGGCCAATTTGGGAACACCCAAGTTGACGAAATGCCACACAGAAGGCCTGATCAATTACGTTTCCCCTTCCACTCCTTTTGCAGTTCTGCCTTTTCAAAGTGATTTGGTTTTTCCAGAAAGATCTTGAGCTCCTCCGGAATCTGAATTGGGTTTCAGGGCTCCTCTGTGTACGACATGACAATAATTTCCTTCAAGATATGAACCTTCCACAACTAGATGTGTGGCCCCACAGCTGCCTTACTCCCATTGAAGGCTGAAACTTCACAAAAACCCAAACCCCTCCGCACTGCTTTTTTTTTAAATCATGATAAGAGAAGGCTCGGTTTTTCCAAATGTGACAGAAAAAGAATATATTAGAGAGGGTGTTGCTTTCCTGCCTAAAAAAGGACACCTTCATCTGTGTTTTTCAGTATGTAAATGTATTTAAATTCAGCCAATTCAAAGCCAAACAGTTAATTAAAAGATTGACACTCCTAGGAAATTATAGCCCGGTTTCTTCCTTGTCCAGCAGGCCTCTTCCCTTTGTCCCACAGTATCTGTCCGATCAGCCAGGCCATTATGTTTCAGCGCAAGGAAGCTGGTGTCCTTGTCCCCGGTTCAAAGCCGAGCCAGGAGTATTCCTGCTGCTTGCAGAATGAGACCCGCGGCTCTGCTTGCCGGAAGACTTGAAGCAGCCTTTCAGATGCCGCCTCCCGCTTGGGGGAGGCTTCCGGGCCAAGGAGAGGGCCGCTGCTTTGCTGGCAGGGGTGATGGTGGTGGGCCCAGCTTAATCCCCAGGTGGGGCTGAGGAAGAGGCCCTGGAGGGCCTCTGCCAGCCAGCGTGAGCAGCACAGGGCCTTCATGCTTCATGCTTCCCCTCCTCTTGGCAGGTTTGGCACCAAGGATTTCTGTGATGCCCAGTGCGACTTCCTTCATAA